TCGAAAGACGCAACAGACATTTTAAACTTGACGTTTGGACTGAAATCACCAACAGAAGAAGAACAACTACTCGGAGCAACAGGAGGCAAATAGCTTCAGGATGGCCCTGCAACTTCTAAGTTGGAATTGTAACGGACTTAACCTTCCGCGAAAGAGGAAAAATATATTTCATTTATTGAAAAAGAGCAGTTGGACTTAATTTGTTTACAGGAAACTCATATAACAAGATTGCATAGAAAACTACTCGTCAATAAGAGATTAGGCCAAGAATTTATTTCATCGGATAAAGTTAAGAAAAGAGGAGTGGTAATCTATGCAAAAGAAAAACTTTCCCCAAAGTTTATATTTAAAGATGAACAAGGAAGGTATTTGGCAATTGAAGTGCAAATTCAAGGTGAAAAATTTTTGATACTAGGGATTTACGCACCTAATGAAGGGAAGTCAGAATTTTTAAGAAGTTGCATGAGACATTGTTGGACTATTTGGATTACAAATTAATCATGATGGGAGACATGAATGGAGTGGTATCTACAAATATGGACAAAGCACAAAGACAGGTAATCACTAGAGATGGGAGACTACCAAAGACTTTCTTTGAAATAACTGAAAATATGGACTTGATTGATATTTGGAGAACAAGGAATCCTCTCGAGAGAGAGGGAACCTTTTTTCTCTGAAGCAATGATGACCTGGACCAGAATCGATCAAATTTGGATTACTAGTGGGTTGGCCCCAAAGATTAAAAAAGTGGAAATCTGCCCAAAGACCTGCTCCGACCATAACGCCGTGAAGATGGAAATGAAACTTACAACAACTGGTCAATTCAGATGGAGGATGAATGACACCCTGTTTCGAGATGAGGAGATCCACAGAAAAGCCCAAAAACTTTAAAGGACTATTTTGAAATAAATCTAAAAACTGATGTAGAAAAAAGAGTGATCTGGGACGCAAGTAAAGCAGTGATGCGAGGATTTCTAATTCAACAAAATTCTGTAAAAAAGAGGAAGCAAAATGAGAAGAAGGACAAGATCTTGGAAAAGATAAAAGAAGGAGAGAAGAAATTGAGATCAAAACCAAAGTCCCAGGAGATCTTGAGAGAGATTAAGTTATATCAGACACAATACATGGAATTGATGAATCAAGAGATTGAATGGAAGATAAAACAAATGAGACAAAAGACATTTGAATCTGCAGATAAATGTGGTAAACTTCTGGCTTGGCAATTGAAGAAAAGGCAGAAACTAAACACAGTCACAAGCCTAGAAGTGGATGGAAAGAATATATCTAAACCTAATGAGATAAGAAATTGTTTTTTGAGTTATTTTAAAAAATTATATTCACAAGGACCACAGAAGGAGGAGGATATAGAAGAATTTCTTAAAAAGTATGGACTACAAAAATCTCTCACCAAAGTAAGGTGGATCTAAATCAGAGAATAACAGATCAAGAGATAGAGGGTGCCATTCAAAACATGCAACTGGGCAAATCTCCAGGACCAGATGGATTGACTTCCAGATATTATAAGGCTTTGAAGGAATGGTTGGTACAACCATTAAAGGAAGTCTGTAATGAGATCTTAGAGGGGAAAAGGGCACCAGAATCGTGGAAAGAAGCGTACATTACACTCATACCAAAGACAGAGATTGAAAAGAATCAACTTAAGAACTACCGCCCAATATCATTACTTAATGTGGATTACAAAATTTTTGCAGACATTTTGGCAAAAAGATTGAAAAGAGTGTTGATGGAGAAGATTCATAAGGACCAAGCAGGCTTTCTCCCTAAAAGGCATTTATCAGACAATGTGAGGAACATAATAGACATTTTGGAATTATTAGAGGTGAATATAAACACTAAAGCAGTTCTGATCTTTGTAGATGCGGAGAAAGCCTTTGACAATATTTCTTGGAGTTTTATGAAAAAGAATCTTCATGGGATGGGGGTAGGCCAAGGATTCGAGAATGGTATGGGTGCCATATACACTGAACAAAAAGCTAAACTGATTGTAAATAATGTGATAACTGAAGAATTTAAAATAGAAAAAGGGACACGACAGGGGTGCCCTATTTCCCCATTACTTTTTATTTCTGTTCTGGAGGTGTTGCTAAATATGATTAGAGATGACCAGCAGGTTAAAGGTGTACAGGTCGGAGCTAAACATTACAAGTTAAGGGCCTTTGCAGATGATTTAGTACTTACTTTACAAGAGCCAGACACTAGTACAAAAAGGGTGTTGGAGCTAATTCAAGAATTTGGCCAGGTAGCTGGATTTAAATTGAATAAACAAAAGACTAAAGTCTTGGAAAAATTTAACAGCCATGGAAAGGGAGAAATTTCAGAATGAAACAGGTTTGACAGTGGTAAAGAAGGTGAAATATCTAGGGGTTTATTTGACATCTAAAAATTTGAACCTGTATAAAGACAATTATGAAAAATGTTGGTCGGAAATTAAAAAGACCTAGAAATATGGTCAAATTTGAAATTGTCAATGTTAGGCCGAATTGCAGTTATCAAGATGAATGTATTGCCCAGAATGTTATTCTTGTTCCAAACATTACAAATTCTAGACAAGATAGACTGTTTTAAGAGGTGGCAGAAGGATATTTCGAAATTTGTCTGGCAGGGCAAAAACCCAGAATAAAATTTAAAATACTGACGGATGCAAAAGAAAGAGGGGGTTTGCCCTGCCGGACTTAAAACTGTATTATGAAGCAGCAACTTTTTGCTGGCTGAAAGAATGGATGCTCCTCGAGAATACAGACATCTTGGACTTAGAAGGTTTTAACAATACATTTGGTTGGCATGCATATTTATGGTATGATAAAATCAAGGTGCATAGGGCCTTTAAAAATCATATTGTCAGGAAAGCACTATATAACGTTTGGATAAGATATAAAGATTTGGTGGAAAGTAAGACTCCTAGATGGTTGTCACCTTTGGAAGCCACGGCGTTGAAAAAACTTAATATGGAAGCCGAATGGCTAAAGTATCGGGAAATTTTGGAACAAGATGGAGATAAGTTGAAGCTACAGAGCTATGAGAAATTGAAACCCAAAGTACGAGATTGGCTCCATTATTATCAAATAATGGAGGTGTATAAACAAGACAGGAAAATTGGCTTCCAGGTGGAGAAATCAAAATTAGAAACTGAACTGTTAGAACCCAATACTAAGAACTTGTCAAGAATGTATAATTTGCTGCTGAAATGGAATACACAAGATGAAACAGTTAAATCAGCTATGATTAAGTGGGCACAGGACATTGGTCATAACATTATGTTTGCTGACTGGGAATGGTTGTGGAACACCGGTATAAAATTTACGGCATGTAATGCCTTAAAGGAAAATATTATGAAAATGATCTATAGGTGGTACATGACTCCAGTCAAGCTAGCAAAAATTTATCATTTGCCTGATAACAAGTGTTGGAAGTGTAAAGAAACTGAAGGTACTTTTTATCACCTTTGGTGGACGTGCCCAAAGATTAAGGCTTTCTGGGAAATGATATATAATGAATTAAAAAGGTACTTAAATGTACTTTCCTGAAGAAACCAGAGGCCTTTCTCTTGGGCATTGCCGCCAATTGGTATCAAAGAAAGACAGAACTTTTTTTATGTATGCTACGACAGCAGCAAGAATACTCATCGCAAAGTATTGGAAGACAGAAGAACTACCCACCTTGGAAGAGTGGCAGATGAAGGTTATCGACTACATGACATTGGCGGAGATGACTGGCAGAATCCGTGAGCAGGGGAAAGAGACGGTGGAAGAAGATTGGAAGAAATTTAAAATCTATCTAAAGAACTATCATAAAATTGAGGAATGTTAAAATGTCGAGGTTTGGAGAAAGAAAAGGAGATTACAGCGACATAAGATTAAGTTGAAGAAAAAAAAATAAGAAAAATATATTTGATAAAATTATTTAGAATTTGCTGAAATAATTTTGGGAATTGGGATGTAGGAAGGGAGGTTTGGGGAGTCCGAGAAGAGAGGGTTATGAAAAAAGGTTATGAAACTATACATGTTTGTATGTCTTTTTATTTGTTTGTACTGTATAAA